AGTAGACGCTCTAAGGGGCCGTTTACCTAAACACTTACCGGTAAAATTCAACATTATCGCTTACTTATCGAGTAAGATTTTATCCACTAAAACTCATCGTATGCAACAATTTATCCCAGTAAGCGCTAACTATGATAAGAGTCATCGTCCTTACTTACCGGGTAAGACTCTGGATTCTTGCCTTCACTCTTACCGAGTAAGATATTTAGTCATTGCCATATTCATCCGATAAAGTAAAGTGAATTGGTAGGCGTTTACCCGGGTAAGCGTTTGGTAAACAGGACCTAAGACATGAATATATTTTGATTCATTATAATCCGTCGGTTTTATCGTTTATATGAAACTTCTTATGAAATCATCAGATAAACTAATTACAAAATTAACTTTTATTAAAAGTTATATGGGAAGATTACACTTTTAGCCCCACCCACCCCCAAAAGTATGCAACTTTATTTGGTCTAAGTAATTGGTAAAACTTTGGAAGTTTCGTAGTTATCTCCATGAAACTTCCATTAAAACAATGTCGACTTAGGGGCTATTTACTTAAATGCTTATACGGTAAGTGTTTAATGTTAGGAGTCAACACTATAACTTATTTTATTAGGTAAGATTCTAGTACATCAAAATGCATCCCATATAACAATTTACCTGGTAAACGCTTACTCGAATAAGAGACGTCACCCTCACTTACAAGGTAAGATTCTCCATTCTTATCATCGTTCTTATCAAGTAAGATTCTTGGCCCTTGCCATGTTCATCCAATGAGAAGAATTACTTGGTAAATACTTACCGGGTATTAGTAAACGACCCTTATTCTAAGATTTATTGAACCCAAATCATCCTAAAAATAGTTAATATAAACTTAAATAAAAAAATTAGCTACAAAAAATATGGAACAACTTAAAATTGGTTTAAAACATACTATAATGCTTATAATTGTTTTACTAAAAATTGCTATCATTATCTAAATATCAACAGTTTTTTATTAGCATATCCTTTAGACGATAACATACTTATGGCACAACATTAAAACCTTTTTGAAACTTACTTTGAAACTTTCAAAAAGCATTCTAAATGAGATCATGGTAGAAATACTACCTCAAATTTCATTAAAGAAATACCCACCAGAACTTAAAATCCCTACAACCATTAATATATATAAATCGATGCATTGCTTTGATTCCTCATCAAACTAGGTATCTGGTCAGGGATGGACCTAGA